CCTTTTCCGCGGCGGCTCCCAGGCCACAGCTCTTCCTGCCCGGGGTTGAAACTGGGGGTGGGACCGGCGGGGCTTCCGCTGCCCTTCCCTCCGCCCCGCACCTCCAGCTCTCAGCGAGTCCCTCCCTGGTAAACTCTGTCTGCAGGGTCGCGTAAAGGGGCGCGGTAGGCAGTGGGGGAGGGACAGACGGGGCGGGAAGGAGGGGAGGGGAGGGTCCTGGAACCCTCTGCCTTCCACCAGAACTGTGGGCCCCGAGCCAGAATCCAGGGGTCAAAGTTAATTTCCTTCCACGTTTCCCTTTCCTCAGTGGAAGGAAGAGGAAAGCGGAAAGAGTTGGTCTCAGAGACCCTCTTTTGAGATTTGGAACGGACTCTCTCACCCGAAAGGCCTCCCAGCCTTTCCCCGAGAAGTGGGACCTCAGCCACCCTTCCCTAGGAGGAAAGGGTTAAGGGAGGATTGGGTGGGGAGGTTGGGGCCTGAGGAAACTCTGGGCTGGAGACCAAGCAGGACGGAAAGGGTAACGACACTGACTCCTCGCTCCCTTCTGCAGTCTGGGGACTGTCTGGGCCTGGCCGACAGCCCAGACCCTCCTGAAGCACCCCCGGGGCGGAGGGGCAGGGGGGCTGCCAGAGTTTTAGACTTGAGTTGTTTATGAAAGCCCTTTTTAGCAAGTGTGAGTTATGCTGGGAGGGGAGGAGTGGGAGTGAGGAACTGGTTGGTAACATAACCTCTGAGGTCTCCTTCCACCCTTGACCCACAGGCCCTGGATTGGTTTCTGCGGTCTGGGACTACCTTAGGCTGGGGGCCCACCTTCAAACCCAGGCCCTGGAGGTGTTCTTCACACAAAGAACTCTTTCTACAGCCTGTGGCCTGCACAGAGCCTGGCTCTGTGCCCTATGGAAGCAGGGTCTACATTTGGGGCTTGGAGGATCTTACTTTTCAGACTAGCAAGTGTGCCCTTGGGGACAAAGGGGAGCGAATCTTAAATCTGACTTGCCCTGAAATGTGTAGTCTGCAGGCCCACCTATGTGAGGGGATAGGCAAAGAAGGGGTGTATTGGGAGGAGAGGGGCTCAGGTACTCCCCACCTGGACTGGGCTCAGCCACTCAACTCCTCATGCCCCATTCCCAACTCTTGTGAGCAGATTGGCATTCAGAAAGGGAGAAAGTGATCAGTGTTAGCTCTGGGCACCTGGCTCCTTGGTCCTTCCCTCTCCAGAGAGCCTTGAAGCAGAAGACCCTCAGAGTGAGTCTCTACCCTTCACATTTCTAACTATACTTTCATTACCAAAAGAGCCTCTGCCTTATTTTGATTCAGTTCCTCCTCCTGAGCAAGGTGAGAGCCAAACCCTATGCCTTCCATTCCTTTTCTGAATGAATGTTCAACTCATGTTGCCTTCTTCCCACTGACTGTGGACTCCAAGCAAGGTGTCCATGGTGTCCATGGTCAAGGAAAACCACTGGGGTTTAATTCTATGTTCAAAGGGGCTGTGTGGAAGGTAGAAACCTAATTCCTTCAAGCTTAGGAATTAGGTCTTTCATAAACAGGTAAAAGAAGTCTATTTAAAATCTTGTGCCACTATTTCCTGAGATTATAAACATGGGAATAATAATACCAACAGCCCAGGCTGTAAATCAGATCACACAGGCAAAGCAACCAGGCACATACGTACACCAATAAGTGTTTGATTCCCTTTCCTAGATCTTGTCTTTTCTCCCCTACTTCAGTTTTGACCCAAGTGTCACCACACCAACACAGAAATCCATTCTTCTTTTCTTCTCCATTTCTGCTAACTCACTCCCTACCTCCCACCTGTCCACCGGATGCAGTGGATTTACCAAAGTGATTTTTACCCAGTTTTGCCAGTAATGAATTACAAACCCTTAAGCAGGTCACTAAAAAAGCCTTCCTCAACTAAGTTTATTTATTGGATCAAGTTCAATCTATTTGTTGATTATGTGCTATAAATCAGGCCCTGAGAACATACCACTGACTAAAATGGATATCTGTTTATCCTGTGGGATGAGAAAATAAAGAAAAGGGAAACTAGCATTCCAAGAGCTGGTAAGTATTATTCTATTAGAAATAAAACAAGGAATGTCTTGATGGGGCTCCTCTGGCACGGTATTTCAGCTGTGAGTGAGCAAGCACATGAACAGTGAGATGGCAATAAGCAAAACTCTTAGCAATTTTTGATGCAAGCCTTTCTTTGGTTCACATACATTCACTGATGTAGCTCATTGATTCCTTACTTATAGTGTGAGACCAAGACTTGTTTGGGTGTGTTAAAGGCATTCTGCAACCTGGGCCAAATCCATTTCCTCAACGTTGTCTAGGAGGGACCTAGTTTAAGTGTTAGTAGAATTAGATCTGGCTCAGCTTGTCTGGCATTAGGGAGCACACCTTGCCAGGAGTTTGTTTGCATGAGGAGTGAGGGGTCGCTGAGGAGAAAGCTCACCTTATTACAGGAGGGCCTGCACTGTGAGCTTGACAGAGTAACAAAGGCTGTCCCTCCAACGCTGCAGAAGGAGAGGCAGCTCTATCACTCAGAGACCTGGACCAGATCAAATCAAAACACTCACAAAGCTTCTGTGAGCAACTGGTGCATGGATAGTCTGTTCAGTCGAACAGACTAGCCACCAAATAAGATCAACTATGTATTTAAATTTATAGGCTGGGGAATTAGCTCAGTGGTTCTGCCACTGCCTTGCAAGCACAAGGCCCCAAGTTTGATCCCTGTACCAATAATAATAATAATAATTAATAATAATAATACATTTATATGTGGCAGAGATAATCTTTCAATCAATGGAAACAAGATGTATTTTCCAATAAATGACCTTGTGGTAATGGGGTAGCCTTCTAGATAGAATAAAATACTCGTATCAAAACAAATCCCTGGAGAATCAAATACTTCAAATTAAAAATGAGATGAGAGTGGTGATGCTTGACTATAATACCAGCTACTCAGGAGGCTGAGGCAGAAGGATAACCAGTTCAAGGCCAGCCTGAGTAACTTACTGAGATCCTGTCCCAAAAAAATACAAAAATAGGACTGGGTGTGCAATTCTGCACTCTCTAGACTCAATTCCCAGTACTGCAAAAAATAAAAGAAAAAAGAAGTAAAGAATGGAAAAATAAAAAAGAAATCATAAAAGTACTACAAGAAGCCATGAATTTTTGCACAGATTTTCCTCAACTTTCAAGCATCACATACAATAAGCCCATCATAAGTTGAAAATATATCCTCGGAAAACTAAAACTAGAGGTTCCATTGGACATAGCTATTCTCCTTTTGGTATCTTCCTGAAAAAATTAAAAGCCTCACACCACAGTGATATATGCATGCCCATGTTTATAGCGGCACAGTTTGTAATACCTGAATCTTGGAAACAGCCCAAATGCCCACCAACTGATGAATGGATAAAGAAGATGTGGGGTTTTATTTTTATACAATAGAGTACTACTCTGTAATAAAGAAGGATAAACATGAGACATTTCTAGTTAAATGGATGCATCTTGAGACCACTCTCTTAAGTGAAATAAATTGGACACACATGTAAGTATTGCATGTTGTTGTTGCTCTGGTGTGAAAAACCAAAAGGGTAAATAGGACCAAAATGTATAATACTGGGAAATAGGAATAAATTCTCAAATGAGAAGGGGAACAAGGGAGCAGAAAGGGGGAAAAGAAAAGAGAATAGAAGTAAAAGATGGAAACAAATCTTTTGTAAATAAGGAGGAAAGAGGGGCTGAAGGGAGGGGAGGGGCTTGGGGAAAAAAGAAAAATCAAGATGTATCATGTACAGGTACAAATTCCCTATGATGAATGTGATCACGATGCATATCTAAAATGTACCAATAAAATTAATTTTAAAAATCATACGTCAAAAGGTACTCAATACACCCACCCTACCAAACCTCCTAGCTGAGCAACACAGCACAGCATAGAGGACTAGCTGCTCCCCCTCATGACCTTGACAGTACCATGAGACAACATCCTATCCCACATATAGCTAGCCAGGGAAGGAAAAAAAACCCTGAAGTCAGACAACTGAGTCCATATTATTTTTGTACCATCATAAACTTGAAAAACTACAAATAGAAAGATCACAAATCAGGGATGATTGCATTATTATATTTTAGAGAGCTATGCCTTCCTAAGTAAGACATCATGTCAGAAAGTCATTTAAAATGTATTTAACACTTTCAGTTCTATAAATATAGACTAACCCAACAGAAAGATGGATGAAGGATGTGATGGATTAAGTAATGGTCAGTTAAGTGGGAACGTCCAGCTGAACTGAGTCAGGATGGTTCTGGGCGTGGAAGACCCACCTGAGGACTGTTCCCAATGGCATATAAGGAGAACGGGAGGGGAAGATTGTATACTGCTGAGTTTCCTGAAGAAGTTTGCCAAAGCCAGTTTTCCTGATAAGAACTAGGCTGTTCTTGTCACAGGCGCTCAGGTCCTTGCTGTGATCAGGGATGACTGTTGTTCTCTTCAAGGGAGCTCTGGACTTTGCCTTGAGCATTGCTTCCTGGCTCCAGTGCAGATCCCTCAGCCTGGTGGTGCAGATCGTTCACCCTTCCAGCACAGATTTTCTAGCTTCCACCATTGTCTTTTGGGTCCTCCCCGTGCAGGTCCTTGATATGGGCTTGCATGAGACATTGCTCTGGGCTCTAGAGCAAGCTCTGGAGGGACTTGTAGAGGACATTACTATAGGATCCAGGCCCATGACTGGATTCTTCAGGTCTCTAGCATGTGCACAGATCTCTTGCAGTCTTCTGCATTTGACTTTTTGGGTGAATATTATAAAATAATCCTATAAATTATGTGTCCTGTATTAAATCTATTCCCTTGCAAACCCTGACTACAACAAGGGATACTAATAGTCCACAAAAAAGAAAATATATGTGGTTCTTAAAATATGAAAAGATGCCCCACTTCCCCCTTAACCACAGAAATGAAAGTTGAAACTATAGCAATATACCATTTTTTAACACAAAATGATAAGCATCAGCAGTGTTTTCTAACCCACGCTTTCGTACCTGCTGATATGTTCCCTCAGCCTCCAAGGACAGCCAGTGACAATGTCTATCAGAATGTAGGTACCCTTCCTCTGTGACCCGACAGTCACACTTCTGAGTTTATTTTACAGACTATTCTCACAAATGCTAAAAATATGTCTGAGCAAGGATATTCTTTGCAGCATTTTTTTGTTATGGCAAATTAGAAATTACAGTATCTAAAGATGGCTGTTTGTACAATTACCATGACTCAGAAAAAGCAGGGATAGAAGTGGGCAGCTGTCTTTGTCCCAGGGTAGAACTACCTCTAAGATACATGG